AATTTGGAATGAAAATGAAAATGAATTTGAAATAAAAATGAATTTGAAATGAAAATGAAAATGAATTTGAAAATGAATTTGAAATGAAAATGAATTTGGAATGAAAATGAAAATGAATTTGAAATAAAAATGAATTTGAAATGAAAATGAAAATGAATTTGAAAATGAATTTGAAATGAAAATGAATTTGGAATGAAAATGAAAATGAATTTGAAATAAAAATGAATTTGAAATGAAAATGAAAATGAATTTGAAAATGAATTTGAAATGAAAATGAATTTGGAATGAAAATGAAAATGAATTTGAAATAAAAATGAATTTGAAATGAAAATGAAAATGAATTTGAAAATGAATTTGGAATGAAAATGAATTTGGAATGAAAATGAATTTGGACTGAAAATAAAAATATCCGTAGCCATCTCGGCCACCATACGTGCCACCATATGACGTTTTCAGAAATGCGTGCTCAATCGCTTTAATTTGTTGCTATTCCAGATGACGAGTACGTATACAGGGATGAAGATGGCAACCTATTGCTACATTCTGCTAGTGTCGGCGACACCCGGCTCTTAATGGACAACAGCACCTTTGTGCGTATCATAGCCAAATTTCAGCTAAGATTAGTCAACCTCGGATGCGTAAACAACATATTATATTAAAAACGATATTATCATATAAGTTAGCTTCGTTGATGCACGTGCTGTGTTTATTAATGTTGCAGAATGCAGATGCTCTTGCTAATGTTGCTGCCGCTATTGTAGCAGCAGTAGTAGTTGTTGTTTTTGTCGTTGTTGCTGCTGATGCTACTGTTAACGTTGTTGTTGTTGTTGTAGTTGTTGTTATTATTATTATTATTATTATTATTATTATTATTGTTGTTGTTGTTGTTCTTGTTGTTACTGCTGCTGCTATTGTTACTCTCGTTGCCGTGTTTCTGTTTTTTTTAACGAATGCGTACTTAGCCAGTTACCGTATAATTTGCTTAAAATATCGGTTTACACCGGCACATTTTACGAGTTTTTGACGCAGAACTATTATCGCCATAACGTTCAATTAATTGCTTATATATATAATCTATTTCTGCTTCACTGTCCAGTATTTTATGGTTGTATGCGTGACTTTGGTTGCAGAGGAGACTCAATACGGGAACTTACTACGTATCGCCTACGACCAAATACGTGCTGCTAGCTCACGAAATCCAACAGGTAACATATACAACAGTGCAAACGCGCAAAGGCGATGCTTATTGTATAGATATATGTTTACAAGCGAACAGGCATTCCGATTTCTAACAGCGTTAAAATAATAACTGTGAAGTGCATTTAATCGCATAAATGTTTAGAAGTGTAAAAAAAAATTTATGAAATAGTTTTGACGAGTGTCTTGTAATATTGTTAATTGTCTAATATTGTATTGCATAAACATTGTGAATTATAATACCGTCTCGTTTGAAACCCATCTTGCAAATCGACGCGAGTTTAATTCAATGCAATTAATGTGCAGGTGTGGCGGCATACACGCTTGCAGCGATATTCCGTATACGAAGTAGACACAGGGTAAGTAGCCGTAGAAATTTCCCCCTATTTTAGATGATAGCCCAATGTAACTTTAGAATTGCATGTACGTGCATGGTTGGAGATTTGCAGACTGTAACGTAATATATAGCGTTTATGTTGGGAACAAGTTTACAGACAAAAATCAATAATACACAAAGAATCTGCTAGTAAGGTATTTTGAGCGTTTGTTTTTGTGTGTTCACTTTTATTATTCGCATGCAGCCATGGAGTGCGTGTGCGTATATGATGTGCCTGCATGTGTGTGCGTGTGTGCGTGTGTGTGCGTCTGTGCGTGCGCGTGTGTGTGCGTGTGCGTGTGCGTATGCGTACGTGGGTGCGTGCGTGTGCGCGCGTGCGCCGAGAAGGTCTAATACATGGGGAATGCGTATTGCACGTAGCCATCATTAGAAAGGATAATCCCATCCGGCGAAACACACATTTGGTAAAAATGAGATAATCAAACATATCTGTACTTCCGCCAACCTATCGTTTAATGTATCGCGAGAAGTGTAATGTATTGGTTCACCATTATACACATAGCGGCGTTCTCAACAGAAAGATTAGTCTTAAAATCAACCATTATGCTAATTGTGCTTTTTTTAAACCGTTGTCAGGAAAGATCGGTCTAGATTTGCCACAACTTCACCTACTAGCAAATATCGGAATAGATTCTAAAGTTTTCTCATGAATCACAAACATCAAATTAATGCAGTTTCTCAATGAAACGACTTGCAAATTCCTTCCCGCGGCGTGTTCTTCAGGATGCCATGTCGGATAGCGACATGCAACTCAATTTAACTTTTCACACAAGGTAGCAATATTTCAACCATTCAATTTTTTTACGTCGAGCAGTGAGCGATACCACGGCATGCACGAAATATATTCATTGAATCAAATTGGTGCATGAACAAACGGCACCCGTGCGAAAGGGCGCATGTAAATCAGCTCTGCTAATAATAGCCCAACACATTCGCAGTTCCATGTCGGGTTTACCCTGATCGACTGCAATTCACTTCGCGAACACTCAACTAGCTCATGAGGGGTCGAGACGGTAATCCGCAGATTACATAATAGAATCGGACGCGGATATTAAACTAATTCGTGCGTGACGAAATAAATAAATATCTGGTGATATTAACTCGTTTTTGAGCAGGACGAGATTCTCAGAAACGAATGAAATGGGAGCGCGTAAATTGAGAGCGTTATTCCGGGAATACCACGGTGCTTGGCTCGGCATTTGGCTGTCTGTAATCTTGGGTCAAGCCATCGTTTCCCGCTGAAAACCATATAGAACCCACGGATTACTCCTATAATATCACTACCTGCCGAGCGAGGAAGGTGCGCGGCTTACTGTGTCTATTGCGGGGCTAACTTGGAGCGGGCCAGCGCGTATTTGGAGCGGGATAGCGTTTACACACTGCAATTATTTAGCTCGAGTCTGACGCGCGCTAGTTTAATACCATATCAAATTCGTAGTCTGTACGAGGTATATAGTAATATGTGTAAGGGGTTGAGTAGTCACTTCGGTTGTGCCTCGATTAGCACAGGCTCAGTCTCGTACGGAAACACAGAGCCATGGCGACGGTGATGCGTAAAAACTAAATGAGACGACAACAAGCTCTATCATCTCATTAAAATGTGCCAGTCATGCGTAATGGTACTAGTCAGTAAAATGTATCTCCTGCATGTGTATAGAACAAAAACTGTTACTCTGTTAATTGCTGGTGTTTCTGCTCGTTACTATACTCAAATGACGGTATCTTATCCGCTATTACGCTAATACTTCCGGGAAACTCTAATATAGCTGCGCAAACGCACGTCTTTTTGTCCGGATAAAAACACAAGTATCATGAGTTTCGTCTTAACAATATTCCGGGCAAAACCAACATATACGCTCCGTTACACGCGTACTTACTTTTTATACCAACTACCCACGATAATTCCTTTATTTAAAACTCACACATGTGATCTTGCCATTAATTTTTGTAACTCTTTCAATTAGCAAAAGTTTATAGTACGTATATATTTTATAGGGCGTTAAAAGACGTGTACATAAATCCATCTGATAAAGAAGTGAAACTTCAATACTGCGGATGGGCGCCCAACGAGGATGCTGTGGTATGTTCGAATTCGCATTAAGTATCGTGTGATGGATAACCATCGTACTTGCCACATATGATGCACTGAATATTTGATATATATATATATATATATATACATATATATATATATATTATGCGAAAATCAATCATATGTAATCTTATATACAATTGCGTATCTATTTTTGGCCAGATATACTTATTCCGTCTGCTCTGTTTTGGATATGGTTATTAAGTGGATGACGGCATTAGATGGTACGTGACTTCTGGGTTGACCGTGTCCCAACCTGGGACATAGGGATATATTCCAAAAATTTTCGCAGGATGTGTACTGTTCCTAGTAGTGCGATTTTCTGCAATTCTTGGGCAGTGTGGTGGCTAGGGAGTTTCTTAAGGTTCTTCTCAAAACCATTCTGTAGAGAGCCAAGGGCTCCAACCACCATTGGTACAATACTCGTCTTAGTATTCCACATTCTCCTAATTTCGATCTCCAGATGTTTGTACTTGCTGAGTTTGTCTCTTTCCTTCACCATGATGTTAGAATCATCTGGTACGACTACGTCAATCAGCAGGCATCGGTTTTCGTTCCTGTTGTGGAGCACTATATATCAGGGCGGTTTGCAGGTATCGTGCGATCTGTCTGCACTGCCATATCCCACATTATGGTAGTATCTCCGATGTTGTTAACTGGTCTCGGAGTATGTTCATACCACTTGTCAGGTACTTGCTCACCAAGTTCACTGCATATTGACCAGTGCAGATAGCTGGCTACCTTGTTATGGCGATTTATGTACTCGGTTGGGGCCAGCACTGTGCATCCGGCGATGATGTGGCTGATGGTCTCCTCTGCCCTGCTGCACATTCTGCACTTGCTGTTGACCTGTTGCTTGAGGATGTTGCGTTGATGGTATCTGGTGTTGAGTGCTTAGTCTTGGGCTGCAATGATCAGGCTTTCTGTCTCCCCCTTGAGTCCGGAACTACTCAGCCAGGCAACGCTTGCCGTCTTGTCGACAAATAGCCTGTCGAAGCTCTTGTAGAATCTTCCATGCAAAGGCTTGTTCTTCAATACCTCGATCTTCTCTGCTTCAATATTGGCCTTCAGTCTCTGCTTTGTTGAGGATTGGCTGGTGGACTGAGGAGACAAGTATTTGGCTTTGATTTCTTTAGCCTCGCGCAAGAGAGCGTGCTTTGATTTTCCAGACTAATAGATTTTGATAAGCTTTGTAAATTTGTCTTCCTTAAGCTCGATGTAGTCGCCTGGACTACATGTAGTTGCCTAGATGTAGTAGATATTATTATTATTATTATTATTATTATTATCAGGAGTGGCGTAATATATTACTGCTATATTGCTCCTAATTGCAGCTGTTGCTAATTGCTAATTGCTGCTAATATAACGCAGCTTTATTATGACACTCCTGACATTATCATATTAATTACTTCGAAATATACGCTTCATTGCCATCCGATCGTCACTTACCTGAACAATATTAAATAATTTATATCTAGCGGGTATATTATGGCAACCTGCAGCGTCGCAAAGTACACGGTTGTTTGTTGGTTTTGCTATGGTTTGCTCCTATTCAGCTGTTTCGTGTTGTAATACCGTCTGCCCTTTATCTATAGCACGCGACCCGCTCTGGAGCAATCACGCTCTGTAGGTCATATTTTGGCTTCAACAATCCAAGCATGTTTGTGGTGATTTGCAGGCAATAGTGCACAATAACGACCTCTACTACAAAGGGGACGTATGGGAGGACGCCGGCACGATTGTACGCGTTACAGCTACCGGGAAGCCAGATATTATATACAACGGCCTGCCAGACTGGGTGTACGAAGGTAATAGAATTGACATGTATGTCAAGCTGCATAGCTGATAGAGAGTGGGTGAAGTCATGTGTTAGCACCGAGCAATCGCAAGCCGATTCATTCGCAAAGAGACGAGCCGGGTCACCGTCACGCATCGGAGAATCTCCTCCGAGTGAATGTTGTTTTTTATTCATCCCTTTTTTTCATTTTTTAGTTATTCTCCCCCATCGGGATGCGACTCGAGTGCGCATTTGTTCGCGAACGCGTGTGTAACTGGATTTCTGCGTGTATTTTTGCTTTTTGCTTTTCGAACGCAGAAGTATTGGCACGACTCCGCCCGTAGAGATCAAATATCGGCATAAGCCCCAACGATTAATCGTCTGCGAAGATGCGACGGCAGCGACGTGTTGCGAAGTATCATCGCGCTAAATTGCTGTATGGTGTCTGTTCTGAATTCTGGAGCCCGGGCAGCAGTGACAAGGGACACGTGTGTGTGTGTGTGGGGGGGGGGTGCCTGTATGTGTGTGTGTGTGTGTGTGTGTGTGTGTGCGTTTGCGTGTATGCGTGTATGCGTGT